AGCAGATAATACCTGATTTTGGAATTTTTCAGAAAGGAATCTTGGATAGCCTTATGATCCAAGTTGAGGAGCTTGGATTAATTATTTAATGAAATGAATATTTTTAAAAATTTCTTCTAAATATAAAAATTGTCAAGTAAGTCCAAAAACAGAAAATAGGAAACAATCATTTCTCACCCAAGCAAATCCTACTCTACATTTGGGAATAGCAATAGAGAGGTAAAAAAACTTTCTCCAAATTTCTAGCTTAGAGATTTTGATCAACCAATAACTATTTGACAATTTCTCTTTCTCATCATAAAAGACGAGAAATTATTGGAATAATTAGGAGAAGACTAGATAAATGATTATTATAATATTTAAAAATCATTAATCCAACAGTAATTAAAAGTATGATTTTTAAATTATATTTAGATCTAAATTTATCCTTAAAATTTTCACCTAATTATAAACTTTATGGTATTGAGATAAGTGAAAATGTAAAAATTACTATTATTGGTTGAGATCTATGGGGTTATTGTATACTTGAACAAGAAATTCCTAAGGCTCGTAAAATATTAAGGAGAGTGTTAAGGAAAAAGGTATTAAATATTATTAATTATAATAGATTATATTTATTATCTACAAGTAATTCTATATATTTTCATCATTCTGATAATACTCAAAGGAAATAGATTTAAATTCTAAGTTATTGATATAATATCATAATACATAAGGACATAATTATATTATTATATTTAATTAATTCTATCATTCAATTTTGAATAATAAAAATAAAATGTGAAATTAATAAATTATTTCCTTCAAAATATATAGTGATAGCCATTCCAAAGTTATAAAATTAAAGAATGTTAATTCTGATCTTGATTGTTTTAATGATAAATCTAAAGAATCCATAATTATAAATTTTGATGGAGATGATAATTAAAAAATGAAGAAAGAACTCAAAGGATGTATTAGAAAAATTAAGGATTTTGAGATAGAATTAATGAAGATACTGTATGGAATGAGAAAAGTTCATTATGAGGCTTATTTTTCAAAACAAGATAGATACAATGAATAATTTTAAAAAAGATAAATTCTGTCCATCACTAACACAGCATGGCCTGTTTAAAAAAGGGAAGCTCAACCAGATTTCGGATCATAATCATTATTAAGAGAAAACATATACAACTTAATTTACTTTTTGTTGAAGCGGAACTAATCTGGTTTGAAATTGATAGATGCTGCATCAAAAGCATGAATGCAAGCACAATTAATTTTATATAAATATCTTCACTAATTAATACTCATCAAATCTTTCATCTATCTTTATTATATATCTACTCTCTCACATATAGTTTGCTGAATCGAATTGTCTTTGAATCTTAATTTGCAATCTTCTAAAGGAATATTTAAAAGATTAACATTTTATTCTCATATAACAACTTATAAAATATGATATAGGAGAACTAATTTTTTTTTCAGAGTAATTATCTAAGTCTATTTATTCTAAAATTGTCTTAAAATCATATACATGATTGCTTGAATTAATTATTGTCAAGATATCAATTAGGGCAATAAATACACTAGCATATTAAGCCAAATGAATTGCAGACCCTTTAACCAAACTCTATTGTTGATAGTTGATATGCTACTTCTTCTTGATTAATTCTTAGCATTTTTGTGTAGCAAAAAAATTTCTAATAAAAGGATTGAATTTAATTATCTGATTAAAACAAATTGGAAAATAATCTTTTTAGACCAAGATATTAGATATAAATTGGTTGATTTTGTTCACTTTTAACATTTCATTTTGTTAAAAGAAATATATGTACAATAAAGGCTAGCTAACCCTATATATTTAATTCCAATGTTTAAATTTAATTGATCTGTCTATTTTTTATAGTTTAAATGCATTACAAAATTAGGTAAACTTGAATTTATACTCTTTTATTACCTCCTATATGATATCCCTCTATCAGGATCGTTTTGAAAGGGAATCATATATTAATTATTATTGTGATGTCTGCATATATAAGTCTATAAAATAATATTTCTAACAATAGTTATATATGTTTTACTTGAATATTGTGTGTATGAATAAGTAAAGAACTAATTATTCTATTAATAAAATTCGCTGATTTCTATTCTCATAATTTTTTTGAATCCTGATTTATATTATAAATATATAAATGCTTCCTAAGTAGAATGAATTAGAAAAAAAATAATTAAAGTTGATTTATTCTTTTAGATCAACTTCTGACATATGGCTATTATTTTTAGTTATAGGCAATTATTGAGTCAGGAATCAGAAAAATCAGTATATTATAAGCTTATTTTAGAATTTTTCAATAGTTTGCATCAGCATTTTGTGGTTTAGATTAATTCATTTACCTTTAAAATTAGAAGAATTTAATCATATTATAGAAATTATTTATCGAAAAAACATAGTTTTGTCACCACATAATAGATTAATTTAAAGGCAGATATTAGATCAATTACTTTCTAAAATTAATTACATCTATTAACGATATTTGTATCAATTATATATTTGATGTATAATATTAAGTGATAAGAGAAATTAAATGCTTCTCACTAATAGCTGATATCATGAATTTTATAAATTAAATTATGTAATTATCACACATCATTTGGTGTTTTTTTTGGAATCTTGAAAGCATGCAATATCAAGTTGTATATGGATTCAAAAGTTTAAAATGATGTGAAAATAGATGGGAATCTATCAATTTATAAGGAAAGCCAATTGAAAGTGCTTGCAAATAATTTCAAGTTTATATTAATGTGGCAAAATTGGAAGTTATATATCCAATTTGAACGGTTTGATAATAGATTCAAAAAATTATTAGAATGTAAACTAAATCAATTATATACATTAGTGAGTTTACAATTATGAAATAATCCAATAGGTAATTCAACTTGCTTCAAATCTTTAAACCCTTTTAATATCATTATCAAATTTAGAATCTCTTTCTTTAGGATTTGATAATTTATTTACACATTAAGGATGATCATAAATTGTGAAGACTATTTATGAGATGAAGAAAGTTCATTCACAATACAGATTTGTTGGAGTTAAGGATGATATGTTACTTCCTATAATTGAAATGAGATAATTAAAATTATTAGAATTTATACTAATGGGATGTAATTTAACTACATCATCAGCTAAATTTTTATAGACATTGTTATACAAATTACAAAAATTAGATAATTCGGTTTTAAATCTGTATGGAAATATTGTCAATATGAATTTAAAGTTACTCTTGGATATTCATTAAAGATAAGTAAAAACCTTAGATATAGAATTAAATTTCAATATTATAATTTTGAATTGAGCAGAAACATTAATGAGTGTTACTGGGTAGATGAGTAATCTTTCAAAATTATGCATTAATTTAGAGTTCAATTATAGAGAGGATTATGGAGCTAAATAGATTACAAAAGCATTAAGAAATTTATAATAAATCTAAAGACAAGGTGTTTGCAAATAAAGGAGCTATCATCTTCCTTATATGGTAGAAAGAGTTTTAAATTAAGTTTGCTTAATCAATAGAAATAGTATAATTGTAACGATCCATAGTTAACCTATAAAAATTCTTGGTTAATTAGAATTAAA